CACATTAGAGTTACAGCTACTAATCAGCAGTTGCTCAAACATACCTTTGGGGCTTCCATGAAGAGCTTTCCTTGGCACCAATGCACCTTTGTATGTGCTGGTTCAACGTGTGGACACCTGTGGAGCATCTGAAAGACACCACTGGCCTTGCCCAGCTGGACAGCTCTTTGCCTAGTGTCCAGGATTTTCTCAGCAAACGTTTTGTTGCATTAACTCCTCGAGAAGAGGGCATACAGGTGTTTCTGGTATGTTCTCCCAGCCAAATATTTGCCTCTTTTGTACACTCTACATTTCATACCTCTGCAGCAGCACCATTGCCGCAACAGTTCTCCCCACAGGTAAACTGGTTGAATGTCTGATAACTTCTCAGTTTCTGAATTTTGCTAGCTTCTCTAATGTGAAAAACTACTTTGTCAAGGTAGTTTAAAACACCCGAAGTGAATGAGCTCATGGAAGAGAGGAAGTTTGGTTCTGCCGGTAGTCACGGATGGGGCAGTATGACCTCTCTGTAGAGAAGTCTGTCACTACACACTCTGGGGTTTGTTTTGCATTTTTTTCTACACTGACTTTTGCACTAAAAGTGGTTGCAGAAGCAGCCTGTGAGTACCCGAAAATTTTGATCAGAACAAGTTATTCATATGCAATCATCAGCAGACGAGTGCTCTTTTGTAATTTTAACTAGGGCATTGGACCTGGGGAAATCAGATGCTTCTCCTGAAATTCAAAAGCTGAGAGTGTAGCACTGTAAAGCAAGACAAATAGGTGAAATTCTAGTTCTGCTCCGTTTCCAGATTTGTCCCAGGAAAGAGGTCAGCAAGGACTCTTCACCTGTCAGGTAGTCCGTTGTGGAGCTGTTCCTAAATCAATTCATGGGGTTTGCCATTCTTCCCCAGTGCTGGCATAACCAAGGGGATATTAAGCAGCAGAAAAAGCAGCTTTTTCCAACATTTCTCTGTTCAGATTTTCCCATTTCATTTCTTATGGTTGCTTAGCAACTCCTTTGCGGTGTTTGAGGGTAATGTTTGCTTATGCTTTGGATGGCCTGTCTATCTGCATCACGCTTAGCAGAGGCTATGCTGGCATCTCTCACTGGACTGACATGTGGCCAGGGAAGTCCCATTTACAGGATTCCAGCTGCTTTTTGTTCAGTTATAGTATTTGCTGTGCTGGAGATGGTCAGCTCTGCGTGTTGTGCACACAGCCTGAGGCAGACTGTCACTGGTATTGGTGCTGGCACTTTTAAGACAACCAGCACCTTGCATTAAACCTCTCAGAGAGTGAGTGTGCCAAGCCCGAGGCGAAATTAACACCTAACGTGTCCTCTCCCCTTCAGAGCTCGTAGTAGTTGGTATGTCAATGCCTATTGTGTTTGCACAGCAACCCAATGTAAAAGGAGGCCAAGCACATCCACCAGTCCTCTATGCCCCTTTGATTGCTGCTTGGCTCTAGCAATAACTCAATTGCTTACAATAAAGCAGCAGTAAAATGGTGACTTTTTTCCTGCTGCACACACTGGCCAAAAGAAAGCGTGAGACTTGCCCAGTTGCCACTCCTCGGGTGGCTGGATCTTACTGCAACGGTGTCGTGGTCGTGGTGCTCTCTGGCAAGCGGTGCTGCCCTTTGCCTGGTGCACACAGCTGCTGAGTAGCTCATCTGTGCAGCCTCTGAAGGGACCTAAGTTTATCAATGCCTTTTTTTTTATAGTATTAGCTCCAATAAATGGCATTTGAAGCAATACCTTATAGAGCCTGGGTGCCTTTCTTACTGGGATTGTAAGGAACTAGGACTTTGTGGTACAGAACCTTCTACAAGTTAATAGTTTGAAGGAAATAAGCATTAGTCTTGCTACGGGGAAAAAGTATTACTCAAAACTGCTCTCTGGCTTTTTCAGGGACAATTCAAAAATCTTCCTCTGCCCTTCTTGTCCATCTGTTGCAAATCTTTTGAAGATACAATAACAATTATGTTATACACAGGTACTAAGAAACAGTTTAAAGGAAAGTAAAATATCAGAGAGAACTGCAACCACCAGGGAGACTAGAGTCCTGTGGAAAAGTGAATATGCAAATGGAGAGTTACTCAGTAATCAGACCGTGGAAAGACACAGATCTGCCCAGTGTGGGACAAATAGATGTTATCTTTCCATGGATGCTCATGCAAATTGTGTTTTACTTCTTTTGCTTCAGTTTTTGGCAGTGTACGTGGGGCTCAACAGGCTGCACAGCAACACTGGGCACCAAGCCTGTCCCTGGGAAAGGGGCAGTGGCATCTTCTTCAGGACTGTGTCTGCTCCAGGGACCATTTGGAGTCTCTGGCTTGTCTCTGCTCCGCAGGCTCTGTTGTTTGGCATTGCACGTTTACAAGCTACAGTTCCCCACAGAAGAAGAGTTTGCAGCCAGAGTTGAGGGTTCGCCTTCTGTTTTTAAGTAAACATCTGATTTTGTGGGAGCACTGCCTTCTGCACTAGGAGCTGCTACCACTACACTAGCAGCAGGAGGCTGCTTTCTTGCTCCTGGTTGTTTTCGCTACATTTATTAGATGTTTTATGAATTAAGATGGTGATTAGAAAAAAGATTAGGTGAAGAGAAAATAGACGTTTTTTTATTTATACTAATTTATTCCTGGTTTTGAAATTATCTAGATATCCCTGGACCAAGTTTGAAAAACAAAAAAAAAAAAACAAAAAAAACAAAGATCTTAAGTGCCTACTTCTGCTGTAGTAAGCTAATTGTAGTAAGCTAGTTTCAGCCATACCTTCTCCTTTGCTCATATGCAGAATTCCTTTTCCTGTTGTGAGACTCGTACTCTTCAGGATAATATTTTACAGTACTTGCGTTTATCACACATGCCATTAACTGTTTTTCTTTCACATTTTATCTGAAAATATATAGGTCTGATTATACAAGCTAATACACTCTAACACTGTTCATTTCACTGTTTGGTTGTTTTAATGTAAGTAATTTATGTTTGATACAAACCAGATATACACAAAATACTGGTGGCAGTCACTGAAAAACATGCATGGCTGGTTTTTGCATACCCTATTCATCAAAAAAGCCCACAGCCTGTTTTATGTTTTTTTCTCTTACCACCTAATTGATATGAAAACTGTGCCTCTAGTAGTAATTTTACTATTTCAGGCTGTATTTCATACTGAAATTGCAGCCATGTGAGACAGCTTCACAGACTATTATGAGTCTGCTTTATTTAGTAATTGAATTTGTGTTGAGAATTGTAATTTATTGTAATTTTTCCTGCATACCTCAGCGTTTGGAAGAGTCCTTTGAATCCGCAGTTCTGAAATGGCACTAGTATGATCTCAGCATTTACCTTCTTCCCATCAGTGAGCAACAGGAAAAGGAGAGTGAGTCATCAAAGAGGTGGAGTATTTTTCCTTTAAAAGCAACTATTTTTCACCTATCTGTGGATTTTGGACATTGCCTGCTTCTAATCTGGGCAGGCTGTTCTCTTCTCTGTAACCCCTCCCTATGCCTTCCCACCACCTACTCCACCACATCCAGGAGGTGGTTTAAGGAGCTAGGTCATCAGCAAGCAAATTAACTTTACCAAAAATTTTCCTCTTGGTTTACATCCCAGAGAACCGCTCACCACCAAGTCAGGCACGTAATAGTGGTGGCGTAAGGCAGGGAGCAGAAACACATGGAAGGAAGGAGACAAGGGGAACAGCATCCTCCTCCTCAATGGCATTAGACTGGCTCAGCCATGTTCTAAAACTACACTTCTAATTCCCTGGTAAAATCAAATGCAAGAGAGAAGCAGCAGGTGAGGTTCGGGGTTTACCTATCCTTATGTTGAGTTGTCCAGTGCCTAAGCTCAGCATGATGAATATTTAAAAATGAGAGGTAGACTTTGGTGTCACTTACACTTTAAAAAGGATTGCTATTATTTTTACTTGGTATATTAGACTATTCCTCTGTCCACTTAATTCTGCAGACTATGATTTTCAATATTTAGTTTGCAGTGGTTTCATTATGATGAATAGAACAAATACAGGCTGCCCATCTAAATACCATCACTATAGATTTTTTATTAGTTTTTTATGGTAATAAAGAATAAACCAGATGGAACAAGAAACTCATGGTATCTGAGGCACAGACAGTTGTTTTGTAGAAGTGAGAATGGCTGATGGCTCCTTTAAGTTTTAGGTGGGAATTAAGTGTGTAATTCACAGCCATCACAGAGCAGACCTTGTCAGAAAAGGCCTTTGATTATCCTGAAACCCTGTTTTTGTTAGGTGGAAGTTTATGAAGAATTGGAGAACTTTCTAGCACATACATGTTCAAAGAAAAAAAAAAAAAAAAAAAAAAAAGGCAATGGGTATGCCCTGCTTGAGAACAAGCAAAATTACACCAGAAAAGTCTTCTGCTTTCTCTTCTCTCTAAGAACAAATCCCAAGAGTTCCAGCTTGAACCATTAACACCAACCAACATTTAAAGGAGGGTTCCCACAGGAATACTTTGCTACTCCCATACAAAGTGGCTTTTTCCTTGAGACCTGTACAGAGGATGGGTAGGTAAAGCTAAAAGCGACCAAGTACTTGAGTTTATCCTTTTAACACAGATCCCTGTCCTCCTGTCTCCTTCGTGTGCGAGAATATATCGCTCATCCTTACGGCACTAAAATCATGAGTTTATTGGAGACATATTACATTAGGAAAGGCTCAAAATAAGATTTTCCATGCAGATGTCTCTAGAGACCGACAGCTCTTTGGTAAATACCACATAGTGTATTTTAAGATAGATATTACTTTAGTGAGGCCTCCTAAAAGTAAAATGTGCCTGAAGTTGATGTTAGAAAGAAAATAGTTAACATTTTTCTAGGTTTTTCTCTCTAATTTGTCTCTTATCAGATAGTCTTTTTTACAGCAAATTAACACATTAGGGTAAAGCCTAGCAAAAATGTGCTCGTCTTTTGTCCTCAGTGCTTGCCAATTGAGATGTAAGTGGGGAGAAAGATCTAATTTCCAAAATAACCTCCACTTAAGGGGAGTAATACCTTCCAAAGAAGAGTATGGTGGTGGTTGGGTTGTGTCTGATGAAGAAGAGGAATGGATGGTCAGCTTTGAACTCGTAACAAACCGGGTGACACAGAGGTACTGCAACAAGCCCCATGGCACCAACTGCTTCAGTGCCCTCTTCGTTGACTTCCATGAATGACTTCTGGATGGCCTTGGACACAACCAAACCATCTTTCCTAGAGATTCCTGACAAATCAGCTTTTCCCCAGTCAAAAACATTCATCACTCCCATCTCTTGGAGAATTTTGTTGAGATCATAACTTTCCTCCATCTTGAACTGAGGCAGGTACACCTTCACTCTCAGCTGTTGCATCCTAGCCAAGCTGGTCCATCCTGCTAGTTTTTCATACGTCAGGGTGCATTCGAGCTGTAAGGTGGTGTTGATAATAATGATGACACCATAATGAACAGAAAGAAAAGATAATAAGGTTCAGTTTTACGGGCTTGTCTTCTGACCACACTGGAACAATGTTAAAGTATTGCTCTGTTTGCAGCCCTTTATGTATGCTACTCGAGAGAAAAGGAAGTATTACCTGTTCTAAGCCAGTAAAGTCCTCAGAGACAACTTCAGGAAGAAGAATGAACATGCTCAGTTCATTATTAAAGTATGGGAGTTCTACCACTTTCATTTTCAGTTCCTCTATGAAGGCCATGTTAAAATAACCTTCCTGAAACATCATCTGCACTGTCCTTCTCTCATTCTGGAACACATGAAACATATTAAACAGAAAATACAGAAATTAGCACCCTGGTTTTAATTGGTTTCAGCATTGAGATTGGAGTTCAGTCCAGAAATGTTGTTTACACTGGTCATGGGTTTAATATACTTGTAGCATTGATGTGTTCTGCTCTCTTAACTGTAGTTCCAATTAAGTTATCTATTTTAGAAGCATGAAACTTACTTTTCCATTTCTGCTCATGCCAGATTACCTTACTCACAACTCCCTCACTATGTCCTTCTTTTTTCTGGTATGTCAGATGAGGAAACTGATGCATCTGATGCAACCATGAATCTAAGTTCTTCATGAACAATATATAGTTTCTCCTGAGATGGTTTGTCTTTAGCTCATGTTTTCCTGAAAACAAACACTGTTCTGTTAGTGAATAGTATCAGAGGAACAGAATCCTCAAATTCAGCCCCAAAAGCAGTATATTTTTGAAACAGCATCCCTAGTTGTTAAATGCCCAAGAAAGTTAGTGCATATGTGCAGTGACTTTGAGCCAATTGGGATCCCAGCTGCACAGGACCCACTTCTGATGTGAATTGACAAACAGTTACATATTTGTTTATCAAACTGAAGAGAAGATGTAGCTTCCTATTGTTCTAGCTGAAGACCAGTGTTTTGTCTAGGGATAACAGAGAGGAAAGCTCCCATGTGTTATAGGAGACAGACATCTGATTTCCATCCCCCCCAGCTCTTTCAGTTCTTGCCCATACTGTACCTTGTTCAGTTGGAAATATGCTTCCTTAGTGTCTTCTTTCTTAAATTCTACTGCCCAATTTCCTTTAAAATATATAGCATTGACCAGGACAAGTACAGTAGAGGGATCGATAACCCCAGTAGCAAATACATCTTTGATTTTACCTTTAAAAATAATGAAGTAAGAGGATTATTACTTTGTTCTGGAAATCACCTGCATTTGACTATGAATAATTATTTCTGTAAGTCTGAAATGTAGTACAATGCTGTCAGACAAATAACGAAAAATTTATGTACAGCTTTTGAAGATAGGAACTCAAGGCACTTTTGTGCTTCTTCCTACATTTATTTCCTATTAAGCAAAAAAATGCAGTAACTGTTTAATATATTAAACCTTTCTACCTTTGGGGGGAAAAAAAAAAAAAAAGCTGAAGTTCAGACATGATATTCTTAACTGGTTCAAATGCAAACCAAATAACCTGCACATTTTCTTTTTTACCTTTTGTTTCATTTTCCACCCAGAAGTTAATCTTCTCTCTGGCTTCTTCTTCAGTGTGTTTAAAATTGACTGGTTCCAGCTCTGCTCGATAGAATTTTTTTGTGGTATCCAAGTATTGCTGGAAAGTACAAACGACAGAAATTTATTGCAACATGATGGTTTTTGTAAGATAGATAATTTCATGGCTTCAAAATAATTCCATGTAGTAGATCAGCAAGAAAAGAATGAATAAAAAAGGCATATATAAGAAATCCACTGAAGTAACTCAAGCATTCAGATTATAGAGAGATTATTTATACAAAAATATTTGCAAATACATTTTTCATAGAATCATAGAATGGTTAGGGCTGGAAGGGACCTCAAAGGTCATCTAGTTCCAACCCCCCTGCCCATATATTTTCAAGCTGTACTGAGCAATAGAAATATCTCAGCACAGTAAAAATTACCTAAGCTCAAAACCTGTTACCTTTCCTTAAGGTTATACATCATTGCTGCCTGTCTTCCCCCAACCATCAAATAAAGAAGGTTGCCCTGTTTTGAGCAAATAACTGGGATTGATAATACGACCATGAGGAGTGGGAGTGTGTGTGCGTGTACTACTCTGTGTAGATAGATGCACTGTAAAACTTATATTAAATATAAAACTTTTCCAGGCCGCTGGTCATCTTTTTCTGGCTCTGAAAAAATCTCTGTTTATCTAGAGTGGAGGGTTTTGGAAGCAAGATGAAATCTTGACTTGACTTGAAAAGAGAAGAGTGGTTACAGACATAAACCAGCGCTGTTTCTAGCAATACTCTTAAAAACACCGTAAGTCTGGTTTCCTGAGGAAATTATTTGTGTGCACTTGCATTGCCTGGGCTGTCAGTGTTCCACAGGAATGTTCTGAGATGGACAATTCCACTTAAATTGGACTAAATGACAAAAATCTCAAAGATGCTACTTTCTTCGAAGCCTTGTTTGAAACGGCAGCAGGGATCAGGGAGTCCCATATCCATATAGACTCTGAAGGAAAGGTGGAAAAGTGAGTACAATCATTTTATTAGAAACAGAGAAGACAGTAGGGGAGAAAAAGTCTTCTGCTGTTCACAGAGCTTTGTTCCTCGGGTAGAAATGGTGCAGCAAGGGCCAGCTCTGTTAGACACCAGTTGTGCGTGGCAAGGATATATTAATGGTGATTACTGCTGTCACGTTTTCTGGAATGCCCAGGGTGAGCTGTTACTATAGATCTGTTTCTGTATATGAAACCTTTGAAGTCACAGCTTCCCAGTGCTCTGCTGTTCCCCACGTCCAACCACTGGGCAATGGAGATGCTCCCTGACTGCAAGAGCTGTGGAGCGCAGTCATTTGGTAGCACACCCTGACAGCCCCATCGTGTTTCATTTCCCTTTGTACTTCATGGTGGAAGAAATTCTACTGAGTTCATAACTTGCAGGAGCTGTTAAAATGGACACCGTGGCCACTTACCTGGAAGAACGGATAAGTAATTTCTCCAAAGAGCCTGTTGGCAATTGTGAGAGAGCAGCCTGGTCTGGGTTCACTGACTGCAGCCAGCAGAGCCTGGAACTGAGAATGGACTCCTTCATCTTCTTCACACTACAAACAGCAAAACAAGAGTTTCATGGTAGGCTTGAGCTTTCCTATGCAAAGCTGCACCTAAGGGTGAATTTCAGCCTCCCTCTGTATGAGAAGTCTGACTCCACCCAGCTGACATAGGCATTGGAATAAACACATCTGGACACCACCTCCAACCCCCTCTGTACCAGATGTACAGAATGACAAAACGATTCCCCGTCGGGCCCACTCTAGTCTGCCTCCAAATCACATTGTACCCTACAGTGATGGCTCTGTGTTCACTGAGCAAAAGTCTGCTGGCTTAGAGCAGAGAGGAGCAAGGCATGTCTTGTAGACAAGCCTTTGCAGGTGGCAATTTAAGCTTTTATCACGTTTTAGACTGGTACTGCTGTTTTGGTTAGAAACCTGTAATGAGAAGGCTTAGCTGCTGAAATGTGGGATCTCACAAGGCCCCTTCAATAACGAATAAAAGAACAGTAATAAGCAGGTCTGCAAATCTAGGCAGAGAGGCTGCTCAGCCCTGCCGCGCTTTCTGATTAAGTGATCATTTGCAAGGGAAAGGGCTGGCAACCTGGCACCTGTTGCTTCACCTCAGAGCTGCAAATGCATTTTACCTTCTCACAAGGGTATCTGTTTCTCTGGCTTGTGCTGCTCAAAACTTCACTGAAATGAAACACCTGAAATGGAAATGTTGGGTGAGTGATGGCACCTCAAAGCTAAAACAAGAGCATTGCGAGCCTACCCCAAAATGCAGCCGGGCACAGTTAATGGGGACAGTCCCACTTGTCCTTTACCATGAGATCCTTGCAAGTGAACAAGATGTTTTGCAGAGGGTGATGTCGGGAAATCTTTGAAATCTTTCTTCTAAAGAAAGAAGACTTTGGGTATCCAGAGAAAGCAGAAGACCGTATCAGAGGGAACCGCCATTTCTGAGCCCTGAAGAGTGGAGGGTACCTTCAAAACTCTTTCTTTAGCACGATGTATTCATTGAACAACCTATTACTAGTGTTTAGTCTGAAAAAGTTTGGTATCAGGAATAGCAGAAAAGAGGGTATTTTTAAAGGTCCTTCTGTGTGCATCACTCCTTTGGATGCTTAGGAGCTACATCAGATGGTACTGTCAGCCTCTTGGCTCTTATCTTGCCACCATCCCCTTTTCAGAGCAAAGGAAACCCACCTTCTCAATCTGTTTGAGTGTGCTGCCCCTGGCTCCAAGGACAACCATCCCAAAGGCAGCTGAGAGACTTAGGGGTGAGAAGAAGATGTTTTCATTTCTTTTGCTTTTGCTCAGCTCTCTGAAAAAGTCAAGACAGAACTTGGCATTGGCTGCACTGAGAGAGCACATTGTGGCACTGAGAACACCTGCAACAAGGGAAACAAAGATTTAGGCTTCTCCTTCTTACACCTGGAAGCTTAGATGCCTTGGTAGAGCACGGTAAAGTGTTCTGCAGTAGCGTGGCTGGGTTGTTCGGCAATTCACAGAAGATTCCTGATTTGCTGTGTCCAGGATGTGGCTGTGAATCTGAAAACCAGCACCCTAAAGGCAGGAGAAACACATTTTCAGAAACAGTATTCGGAGTTCAGCTGCTTCTCCAGCTCAAGCAACAGCTGTGGCTTTGTCACTTAGCCCTAACCACAGTCACAGCTCACTTTTTGTCCCAGTCCTTCTTGCCTGGAGTCCTCTAGGCATAACACTTATTAATTACACCCCTTGATCATACCTCACTCTCTGTGTCCCTCTCTAAAATTTTGCGTATGTTAATCAGCTGTGCCTCACATACTGTGTTCTTCTAAGGCTGAGCTGCTTCACAAACGTTTGCCTGAAAACTGAGCTACAGATAGGCTCACTTAGCCAGATTTCCAACAAAGGCACATTGTGTATTAGTGGAAAATTCCCGTCATATTGTTTTGTTTTATCTGCAGCTTTAACACTTTTCGTAGATATACTTCAGTTACAATCACAATTACTACTAGCAGATGGTCTTGAATGTTCTGCAAAACCTTCCACATCTTACGCCTAGGACAGAGTTCCTTTCTTATGAAAGCCTTTTCCCGGTGTCTTCACCCAGTAAAGTGATGTAGAGGCATCTAACCCCTTAGAAAGTCAGCTCAGTATTTTAGAATTTCCACTCTTCTAAGTCACTTTTGGTTTGATTCTTACTGAGTCTGAATAACTTTCTCCACAGATGTGGAAGACACCTTCCCCCTTTACACAAGAAGAATTAAATTTTCCATGTACATATTTAAAAGATGGACTGATGTAGAAAGATCATGCTCTTATAAATTACCAATATGGGTCATGCAGAAGTGGGAAAAGGTTTGGTTTCAATCTTCTGTAGAAGCACACCTGGTAAAGCCATGGTACAAGTTAAGCACAGCTTCATCACACAGCCCATACATGCAAAACATTGCATAGCATCTTGAAAATATTCTCACTTCTTCAAAATATGTTACGTACAGTATATACGGGCTCAGCAGATATGCACATCACTAATGCACATGTCAATCTTTAGAGGTTTCATAGTTACATCATTTGTAATTTAAAGGTTAGAACTAAAGGTCAGGGAGATACTTACCTTCTCCTCAGGACTGATGGTGTCAACTTGACTGTTGAGCTTGATGACAGGACTTCTGGAGCAATGGGATATAAAGCCATTGCCACTCCCAGTGGCAACGTAATTTTCACTCGTGATGAACCACATTCCTGTTTGGTGCAAGCAGTTAGTATAAATAGGGGATCTTTTGTGGAATCTTAAATTTTTCCTTATCCCTAGGAGTTCAAAAAGAAGTCACAATTTTAACTGTACATTGAGATGTAAAAATATTTTACCTAGTTATAAAAAAGAAAGAAAACTAGAAACAAAGGAGATTTCAGAGGTTTTACGTGTAAAAAGAAATCCTACTAAATTTGATGTTTGTTGCTGCCAGAAGTGGCACCATCGAAAGCAAACACCTGTGTTTTTGTAATAGAAATTTATTATTAAAATATCTGCAGATGGCACAGTAGCAAGGAGAAGAAAAAATATAAAAGTACCTATTTGGCCAATTGTGACATAAGGCAATGGTTCCAGAGTGGAGGTAGGACAATTCTCTTCTTCTACTCCAGTTCTGTGCTTCTGAAGACTTCTCTCTTAAAGATCTCTTCCAGGCAGTTTTCTCTACCTGTTTTCTTCCTCAACTGGAAATTTTGTCCTTAATGGAGAAGAGGAATGTAGCCATTTGTTCCAGAGTTTTTTGAATATCCAACAGCTTGGACAAACAGTAACTTGCTCCCATTTGCATGACATCCTAGAAGAGCGGGCACGGTGCATGCACAGCACGACTATGCCAAGCGTGCACGTCAGGTATGCTGCAGCCGAGCACTTTGCAGTTGTTGCAGTGATGCAGCACGGATTGTGTGCGTTCCTATCGACCACACAGCACGTGCAAGGCTAACTGGTGCACCTGGGATGCTATGCCTCCTGCAGAGACACTGCGTTTAGGGGCTTCCCAGGCATCATCTGCATTTCCTTAGGTTTTCCTGATGGAAATATGGGAGCCTTGTTCCTCTCCTGGCAATTCCTGATATTTCTACTGTGAGTGGGGAAGGTGTTTCTGTCAAAAGGGCAAAATGTAGAGAAGCTATCCCTGCCCATATAGTCTTCTTTCAAAACCTTGTATTTTGCAGATGTGTTTACAGGAAAGCTGGATGAGTTTTGTCCAGGTAGGCTTTCCACAAGACTCATAGAATCAAAGAATCATAGAATGGTTTG